TTTTTAAAGATATTTCTATTAATTAGGATAGGATCACAAGTAATGTATTATAGATCTATTTAAAGGGTTCTATTAATTAGGATAGGATCATAATGTGATATTTAAAAAGATCAAGGACAATATTACCCAAGAAAAGTTCCAAACTCCCACTTTTAAAGTGAGTGTGATTTTTTGAAATTTTTTATTTCTAAGGGACTGTTTGTAATTTCCTAATTTAAAGATTCTTTGTATAATTTTTAGATTTTTAAGAATATTTTTTATAATGTTTTGAATTTTAAGTTCTATTAATTAGGATAGGATCATAATGTGATATTTAAAAAGATCAAGGACAATATTACCCAAGAAAAGTTCCAAACTCCCACTTTTAAAGTGAGTGTGATTTTTTGAAATTTTTTATTTCTAAGGGACTGTTTGTAATTTCCTAATTTAAAGATTCTTTGTATAATTTTTAGATTTTTAAGAATATTTTTTATAATGTTTTGAATTTTAAGAATTTATTACAGATATGTCTATTAATTAAAATTGTTTGACAAGTAATGTATTATAGATCTATTTGAAGTATTCTATTAATTAGAATAGCATCATAATATGATATTTAAAAAATCTAGAGCAGTATTGTCCAAGAATTTTTTTCCCAAACTCTCACTTTTAAAGAGAGTATGATATGATCCTAATTTTTTTATCTTTGAGAGTTTAATTATATCCTTTCAGATATTACATTCTAATATGATCCTAATCTATTATCTTTGAGAATTTTTAGGTTTTTGTATTTCCCTTATTTGTTATCTTTGAGAATTTTCCCTATTTTCCTTTCTTTTCAATTTTTTTACCTTCACTTTCAATCTTTTTTTTTTAAATCTAATACTATACTAATTGGTGATCTTTGAGAGTTATATTTAGAGTCTTATCATTAGGAGTTGTTATGGTATTCCCATTCGCCAAAATATAACTCCTCGCTAAACAACGGACGGGTGTATTTCCGCAGGCAATGCCCCAACTAGCTTGGTGGCCTAAGTCCAACAGAGGTCCCAACTTTGCTAACTTGTCAAGTCAATACTCTTCATGTGACTCAAGAGTCGGGATCAGTTGACCCTTCTGTCGAAGTCAACTTGCCTGGAGCCCACTCGACCTTTTATTCAATGCCTTACGAGGATGACTCGATGGGCATTACTTCTAGGCTAAACTGTAGGATAATATCTTCCTCAGACTTCTCCCTCTAGCTACGTGTCAGCACCACGATCAAACACTGGATAGGTCCCGTCATGACCCTAGCCTCGATAGTCTTCATGACTCGTCATATCACATGGGCTCTACCACACCGCAGATCACTCCTCATTCGATAATGAGGTGATCTCTCCAGTGCTGAAGTGATCTCCCCCCTAACATACCGACACCTGTAAAGTGGGTGCTGACGCAGCCACCAACCCATACTCCCTCTCTCTTCTTATTTAATGCTGAGTGTTCGGGTCAAAAATTGTTTTCTTTATTACGGGACTCATTACAACTTCAATCGTTACAATAATTTAAAAGGAAGGACTTTATATAAGCCTCCTTACACAATGCAAATAAAAAGATTACAATTTTCTTGAGAACACATGCAGATAGATCGTTTATTGGTCTTCTGCTTGCGTGGGATCTTTACCGGTGTCAGGGTTTATCCGTGGACCACCAACTGATTAGATCTGAATAACGATTTTGTTGCCTCATAAAGGATACAATAAATTAAAGTGAGTATCTCGACAACAGCGAGATAATCACTCTTCTCAAGAATCACAGCTATGTATGATCTCAAGGAAAACAGATGAATGGGATGCAGATCTCTCAAACGCTTCTCCTCCTTGTGCTGAAGAACTCGACAAGATCCCTTCCTCCTCCTCCTCTCTGAAATTCGTGCTCCTCACTCTTCAATTCGACAGGGCTTTGCAGAGGCTCGAGAATTCTGGATCTATGTAAATAAAGGCCCTGGAGTTGTATTTATAGGCTTCAGAAGCTTGGTTTTTAGATAAGATGATTGATTTAATCTCATCCTCAGTTGTAACCACTTAACCACGTTCCAATATAACTTCAGATCAATTGGGGAGGCTTTGGATCAGAATATACTCAAATCTGAGTGGTTAACGGGAAAAATTAGTATTTTTTATGCGCGAGACAGACTTTGTGTCCCAGCCTTGGCCGAGACACAAAGTGTGTCCTGGCCATGGCCGAGACACAAAGCGTGTCCCGGTTGTGCACCTCGACTTGTTTTTGTGTAATTCCTCGGTCCGATCTCGGAATGACGCCATTCAAAATGTGTTAGAAATCTAGAGAGGAGATTTACAATCTCCTATAAGTGAATCATGTATGGAGCGGACGAGACATGAGTGATGCTTCATCTTTCGTGAGTGGATCGTAACTCCCGATCGGATCGTCTCTATGTTATTTCATCATCCTCTTGATTCGTATGCTTTGTCGACTTGCTTCATGTGCTCATTGACGTTAAATAATCTCCTTTGACTCGGATAATAATGCTTATCATTTTATGCCTCAAGCTACATGCGGGAACCTATAGGTAATTTTTGACGCCTACAGATACCTCCTCCAAAGTGTTTCAATCTCTTTTTTTTTCATAGAGAAGCCTGGAATACTTTGTATGTGATAGGTTTAACCTTCAAATGGTGTAAAAGGACCTATAATTGGCTTTAGTTCTTGACTTCTTTGATTTTAAGTCTATTCAGTATTTTGTCGAATAGTTGA